CTTACACTTAGGCAGGAAAATCCAAAGGAACAAATACAGATCGGGTAAGACCTGGCTCAAAAACAGTGACTGTGAGAGGGACCTTGGAGTCCTAGTGGACGATCACTTGACTAAGAAGAGCCAGCAGTGTGCAGCAGCAACCAAAAAAGCTAATACAATCCTGGGTTGTATAAACAGAGGCATAGAATCAAGATCACACAAAGTATTAGTACCGCTTTATGAAGCCCTAGTAAGACCACACCTCGAATACTGCAGCCAATTTTAGTCACCATATTACAAAAAAGATGTTGAGAGTTTGGAAAAAATTCAAAGAGCAACTAAGATGATCAGAGGCCTGCAGTCCAAAACATACGAAGAACGGCTGCGGAACTTGGGGTTGGCTAGTCTAAAGAAAAGAAGAAACAGGGGAGACATTAAATAAACCACGATGTGCAATCCTGACAACAGTGATGTGTTTAACAAGCCCTCCTTACATGTGCACAGAGCATGCTGGGAAGAGCAAACTGACCTTGCCCAGCTTAGCCTTGTCACTAACCTCTGGAAAGAGTGAGAAGGTTTCGTTGTCAATTGTGAAGTAGTACAGAAATTCGCCATCGTACCAGACGCTCTTTCCCACCGGTGAATTTTGTTTTGTCATTGCAACGAGATGGCTCGGATCGCAACAGTCTTTGAGAAGTTTCCTAATAGAAAGAGAAAGGAGAGAAGATAAAGCATGGTAGACATTCTGATAAGAGGCATTTGTAAGCTTTCTAGAGCAGGGCTTTTCAACCTTTCCACCCATTGTGCCACTTTTAGGATACGGCAACATCTGAGTACCACCAGTCGCCTAGCAAGGTGTCAAAAACCTGATGACCAAAAAACAAAAAAAAGGAAAAAAGTGATAAAGTACAGGTAGTCCTCGACTTACAACAGTTCGCTTAGTGACTATTCGAAGTTACAACAGCACTGAAAAAAGTGCCCCCCAAGCCACAGCCGAGCAAGACACCTGCCTGCCCGCCCGGCCGCACTCTTCCTCCTGTCCGAGGTTTTCATTGTTGTGAGCATTTCTGTTGAGGATTGGCAGCAGGGGTGGGGTGGGGGGGGGTGTTTGGTTTTTATTCCCCCCGTCTGCTGGGTGATTGCAGCAGGTTTTGGTCACTTCACATGACCCTGAAACACTGTGACCGTCATAAATATGAATCAGTTGCCAAGCATCTGAATGTAAATCACAAGACCCTGCAGATGCTGCAACATTTCAGCTGATCGGCGCTTCTTTTGGGCTCAGCAGAAGCACCAGGATCAGCTCTGAGCTCCAGCTGGAGCCTGGCGCTGATCCTGGCGCTTCCACTGAGCCCTGACAGTCCTGAAGAAGTGCCGATCAGCTGGAAAGTGGCACTGATCCTGGTGCTTCCGCTGAGCCCTGACAGCCCCGAAGAAGCGCTGATCCTGGTGCTTCCACTGAGCCCTGACAGCCCTGCAGCTCCAGCCATCTCTCGCTCAGGCTTGTGCGTTGCTGCCACCAGTTCAGCTCATTCCCCTCCCCCGCTACCGCTTTTCTAGGATGGTCGCGTACCACCTGCCAGGTGCCAATGTACCACAGGTGGTACCCGTACCACTGGTTGAACAGGGTGGTACCCGTACCACTGGTTGAAAAGCCCTGTTCTAGAGCACAATAAGGCAAATCCTCAACCCAAAGCTGGTGGTAGGATCAAGATCCAGATATGTTCTTTTTCTAGGATAGTCCATGGACACTAAAACTAATCCATCCTTCCAGGACTGTCAGAGGAGTTACTTCTGCCTCTGAAGTGTTTTGTCATTTAAAGCAGGGGTCCCCAATCCCCAGTCTATGGACCAGTACCGGGCCGTGGCATGCCAGCAACCGGTCCACACAAACAAGCAAAGCCCCATCCGCGGGATGTAGGCAGCACACAAAACCACGCACTCTCCGGTCCGTGGAAAAATCTCTCTCCACAGAACTGCTTCCTGGTGCCCCAAAAGTTGGGGACCTCTGATTTAAAGCAGTGTTTGAGGGATCCTTGGTGCTCTCTGAGCTTGTTTGTTTTCTTGCAGATGTTTCATGACCCAAACTAGGTAACAACATCAGTGCTAGCAGTTTGGGTCATGAAACATCTACAAGAAAACAACCAAGCTCAGAGAGTGCCAAGGACCTCTCCTTTCAACCCTGAGCTACAAATATTCTCCTTTATTGGTAAATAAAGCCGTGTTCCTCAACCTCAGCACCTTTAAGATGCTGGCTGGGGAATTCTGAGAACTGAGAATCCTCAGATCTTAAAGTTGCTAAGGTTGAGAAGTGCTGATCTAGAGGTCCCTGAACTTCTGCAACCTTGAGATGGTCTTTAGCTGCCCAACATTGCCCAGGCATGTGTGGATGTTATAATGGGAGCCAACTGCAGCATCCCCTTTACACTTCCATAGTCCACATAGATGGAATTCTGGGAGTTGAAGTCCACAAGTCCTAAAAGTTGCTAAGGTTGGACACCCCCTGCCCTACACCATTCTTAGCTTCCATCTGGGCAGATTGACTCACTTCCTGGTAAAGGATTGGGCAGCAGTTCAACCTCCATTTTGAGATGAGATATATGAAACTGAAGCCTTCTGGTAAATAAAGGTGACCCTGGAGAACAGTGCATTGCTTTTTATGAGAAACGCAAAGGAGAACCGCTTGTTACTCATTCTGCTTTCATCTAAAACAGGGGTCTTCAAACTCGGCCCTTTTGTGACTCATGGACTTCAACTCCCAGAATTCCTCAGCCAGGCACGCTGGCTGAGCAATTCTGGGAGTTGAAGTCCATGAGTCATAAAAGGGCTGAGTTTGAAGACCCCTGATCTAAAATAATTTAGAGGCTGGGTCCTAGAACTCTAAGCAACTTGGAAGAGAAGCCCTCCGCGACCTTGGCCAGTTCCTGCCATCTGTGACTAAGGAGGCAATTAAGTCATCACGCAGCTGATAAATCCTTCACTTCTTTCTTTTTCTCTTTGCTTCTAACTCTCCTTAGCACCATATGTTTGCTAAAAATGGATTGCATTGAAGCACCTGGAGGTAAGAAAAAATAATACAGAAGACGGAGATTCACAAGCAAAAATTTGGACCCTGGGGCTGACTGACTTAGAAGAAAAGAGGGGAGAACTGCAAAATGATCCAACCTTGAAATATTATAGGGCAGAAAATAGTTCCTGATGATTTAAGCCCGTGGTGGCGAACCTATGGCACGAGTGCCACAGGCAGCACGTGAAGCTGTCCCTGTGGGCGCGTGCGCCATCGCCCCAGAGGGAGGCGGGGCCAGGCTGCTCCCCTCCGCCTCTCCACATGTGCCTGTGCTCTTGCTCTATCTTGGCCATGGGGGGGGCCGCAAAATCGCTCTGGAGGCATAGATCCGGGTGGCAGAGGCCATGCCCACCCAGCGGGCCACGCCCACCCGGCACCCAGCAATACATAAGTGGGTTTTGGGTTGCAGTTTGGGCACTCGGTCTCTAAAAGGTTCGCCACCACTGCACTAACCTATAAAAATAGACCAACCTTTGCATATGATCGTTCCTTGACTTGGTTACTTGAATCTAAGCGCTGTCTTGCAATATTTAGATGCAGGGAAGAGGGCACCTCTCCCCCAACAATCTGGGTCCTCCTTAAACTAAACTAAACTAAAACTAAAATAACCATTGTAGTCAGTGGGTCTTTCTTTCATGACGTGGACAGGATTCTCGGGAGGCTGAATGCAACCACATGTTTACTGGATCCGTGCCCCTCCTGGCTGGTACTGGCTGCCCGGGAGGGTACACGAGCCTGGCTCCAGGGAATTATAAATGCTTCTTTGTGGGAGGGTGTCTTCCCCGTAACCTTGAAGGAAGCGGTGGTGAGGCCCCTCCTTAAGAAGCCTTCCCTGG